ATCTAGAGAAAGCCTGCGCACAGCCATAAAGACCCAATGCAGCCAAAGATAAAAGTAAATTAATTAATTTAAAAAATAAAAATAAAAGAGTGTTTATTGAAAAAAAAGAAAAACAACAAAATTGACAAACTTTTAATCAGACTGACCAAGAAAGAGAAAGAAGGCTCAAATTAGAAATGAAAGTGGGTGCATTACTACAGACATTACAGAAATAAAAAGGATTATTATGAACAGGTATATGGCAACAAATTAGGTAGATGAAATTGAGAAATTCCTAGAAACACAAAAACTACAAAAAACAATTCAGGAAGAAATAGAAAATCTGAATATACCTATGACAAAAGAAATTATTGAATCAGTAAGCAAAAACCTACCAACAAAGGAAATCCCAGGACCAGTTGTCTTCACTGGCGAATTCTAGCAAACACTTAAAGAAGAATTAAAACCAATCCTTCTCAACCCTTTCAAAAAAGTGAAAGAGGAGGGAATACTTCGTAACTCGTCCTGTGAGGACAGTAGTACCCTGATAGTAAAGCCAGACAAAGACATCACAAGAAAAGAAAACTATAGACCAATATCCCATATGAGCCTAGTTGCAAAAATCCTCCACAAAATCCTAGCGACTGAATCTAGCATATTAAAAGGATTGTATACCATAATCAATTGGGATTTATCCCAGGAATATAAGCATGGTTCAATATATGAAAATCAATCAATATAATATACCTTATTAATAGAATACAGGAAAAAACACAAATATCTTATTAGATGCAGAAAAAGCATTTGACAAAATTCAACGCACATTCATGATGAAGACACTCAGCAAACTAAGAATACACAGGACCTTGTTCAAACTGATAAAGGACTTATGTGAAAAACCCACAGCTGATATCTTACTTAATGGTGAAAGACTGAAATCTTTCCCTCTAAGAGATCAGGAACAAGATAAAGATGTTTCCTCCCACCATTTCTATTCAAGTTCTAGCGAGGACAAATTAAAAGGAACCTAAATTGGAAAGAAAGAAGCAAAACTGTCTCTATTCACAGATGGCATGATATTATGTGTAGAAAATTCTAAAGAATCCACAAAAAACCATGAGAGTTAATAAATTCAAAGTTTCAGGATACAAGATCAGCATACAAAAGTCAGTTTTATTTCTACACACTAGCAGTGAACAATCAAAAAATGAAATTAAGAGAACAACTTCATTTAGAATAGCATTAGCTATTTATTTATTCAAAAAGAATAAATTACTTAGAAATTAATATAACCAAGGAGGTACAAGATATGTGCATTGAAAACTATAAAACATTGCTGAAAGAAATGAAAGAATCAATGGTTTGGAAGATTTAGATTTAAGATGGCAATACTCCCAAATTTAATGCAATTCCTATCAAAATTCTGACTTCCTTTTTTGCAGAAATGGACAAGCTGATCCTAAAATTCATATGGAATTTCAGGGGACCCAGAATAGCCAAAATAATCCTGAAAAAGAACAAAGCTGGAAGACTCATATTTATTGATTTTAAAACTCACTTACTACAAGGCAATGGTAATCAAGGTGGTGTGCTACTGGCATAAGAATAGACAAACAGATCAATGTCCAAAAATAAACCTATATATATCTATGGTCAATTGATTTACACAAGGCTGCCAAGACTATTCAATGGGGAAAAAATAGTCTTTTCAACAAATTGTGCTGGGACAACTGAATAACACATGCAAAAGAATGAAATTGAACACTACCCTCACACCATAATCAAAAATTAACTCAAAATGGTTATTTGTAGTGAGGTGGATGGACCTAGAAACTGTCATACAGAGTGAAGTTAAGTCAGAAAGAGAAAAACAAATACCGTATGCTAAAACATATATATGGAATCTTAAAAAAAATGGTTCTGAAGAACCTAGGGGCAGGACAGGAATAAAGACACAGACATAGAGAATGGACTTGAGGACGTGGGGAGGGGGAAGGGTAAGCTGGGACAAAGTGAGAGTGTGTCATGGATTTATATATACTACCAAATGTAAAATAGATAGCTAGTGGGAAGCAGCCGCATAGCACAGGGAGATCAGCTCAGTGCTTTGTGACCACCTAGAGGGGTCGGATAGGGAGGGTGGGAGGGAGACACAAGAGGAAGGAGATATGGGCATATATGTGTATGTATAGCTGATTCACTTTGTTATAAAGCAGAAACTAACACACCATTGTAAAGCAATTATACTCCAATAAAGATGTTAAAAAAAATAATTAACTCAAAATGGATCAGAGACCTAAATGTAAGAGGTGAAACTGTAAAACTCTTAGAAGAAAACAGGGTACATTTCTATGACCTCAGATTTGGCAATGGATTCTTAGATATAACACCAAAAATATAAACAAAAAAGAAAAAAATTGGACTTTATCAAAATTAAAAATTATTGTGCAGTAAAGGACAATATAAAGAAAGTAAAAAGACAACCCACAGAATGGGAGAAAATATTTGCAAATCATATATCTGATAAGGGTCTATTATTCAGAATATATAAAGAACTCTTACAAGTAAACAAACAAACAAAAAGCCCAAACAGCTCAATTAAAAAATGGGTAAAGGATTGAATGGACATTTTTCCAAAGAAGATATACCAATGGCTAATAAGCACATGAAAATATGATCAACATCATTTGTTATTAAATAAATGAAAATCATAACTACGAGATACCACTTCACATCCACTAGGGTAGCTACAATAAGCAAACAAAAAACAACAGCAACAAATCCAGAAAATAACGTGTTGTTGAGAATGTGGAGAAATTGGAACACTCATATACTGCTGATGGGAATGTAAAATGGTGCACCCGTTGTAGAAAACAGTTTGGCTGTTCCTCAAAAAATTAAACGTAAAAGTATCAACAACCCAGCAAATACACTCCTAAGCAACTATACTCCAATAAAAATTTTTAAAAAATAGGTGGTCAAACAAAAATCTTACATGAGTGTTCATAGCAGCCTTATTGTAACCAAAAAGAAGTAACGACCCAAATGTCCATCAATTGGTGAATAGATAAACAAAAGGTGGTGTATATATATACAATGGATTATAATTTAGCCATGAAATATTGATACATGCTACAATATGGATGAACCTTGGAAAAACTGCTAAGTGGAAGAAGCCCATAAAAGGCTATATGTTGTGTGATTCTATTTATGTGAAATGTCCAGAGTAGGCAAATCTGTAGCACCATAACATACCCAAGGGCTAAGGGGAGGGGTGAGTGAGGGAATGACTGCTTGAATGGGTCTGGGTTTCTGTCTGAGGTGATGAAAATGTTATGGACCTAGATAGTGGTGATGGTTGCACAACATTCTGCACATACTAAAAGCCACTGAATTATACACTTTGAAATTGTTAAAATGCTGACTTTTATGTTGGTGAATTTTTTAAAATTACTGTGAAGAAAATGCAAAAGCAAACCACAGACTGGAAGAAAATATTCACAATACAAATATGACAAAAAATTCATATCCAGAATAGAAGAACTCTTACAGTTCAGTAGTGAAAAGACAAATAATCCAATTACAAATGGGTAAAAGGCTTGAAAAGACCCTTCACTGAAGAGGATGAATGAAAGCAAAATGCACACGAAAAGGTGCTCAACATTGTCATCAGGGAAATGCAAAGTGAAACGAAAATGAGGCAACCATTTACACCTGCTAAAATGGCTAATATTAAAAACTCAAACCATATACCAAAAAGTATTGCCAAGGATGTGGAATGTTCAGAACTTCTGGTGGGAATGTGAAATGGTTACAATCACCCTGGAAAACTGTAAGTTTCTTATAGACATACACCTACCCTGTTACTCAACCACAGAAAAGACTTGTATATGGATATCCACAGCAGCTTTAATCATAATAACCCAAAATTGGAAAGAACCCAAAATGTCTATCATCAGATGAATGGATAAGTAATTTATGGTATATTCATGCAGTAGCTTACTCCTTGGTGATTAGGAGTCAATTATTGATACAGGCAAAACATGGATGAACCTCAAAAGCATTATGCTGAGCAAAAGAAGCCGGATACAAAAGAGTACATTTTGTGTTATTCCATACAGAGTTCAAGAACAAGCAAAATTAATCAATTGTGATAGGAATAAAAACTTTGGTTTTCTCTTGGTAGACTGACTAGAAGGAGATACAAGGGAACTTCTGGGGTGATGGAAATGCTCTGTATCCTGCTTGGGGTGGTGTTTACATGAACATGCATGCATTTGTAAAAACTCATCAAAATGTACACTTAAAATCTGTGCTTTTTATTGTCCATACGTGATACTTCTATTAAAAGAGAAAATGAGAGGAAAGGAAGCAGAGATAATAAGGCAACTTCACTGTAAGGCTTGCTAGAAGGGACTTAGAGAAATAAGCCAGTAACTGGAGGGGAAGTTGAGACCAAGAGTATGTATTGATATGTTTGTGTGTGCGTCTGTGTGTGTGTGCCCATATGTGTGTGCATATGTGTGCACACATGTGTGTGTGCTTTAATGAGAGACTTTGTAAGCATGTTTGCTACTGATGGTGATGATCCAATAGAGAAAAACTGATGATGCAGAGAAAGAGGGGAAATTACAGAGAGCAAAGACCTTTAGAAGAGAGGTGAAGAAACATAGGATGCAGCAGAGCATCTTGGTAGCAGGAAATAATTTTGTTCTGTTTTCCCCAGACAGTTGAACCAGGGTCAAACAAAGGAAGTCACAAGGAGGTAGATCTCGGATCAGTATAAAGGGTTTTTCTTTGAGAATTAGTACTGTTGCCCTCTCAGGCCACCCTGAAGGGTAATGAGTTCTGTCTCCAGGGACATGAGGGCCACTGTAGCAGGAAACACTAGCCTCACATTGTCTCTGGGCTGTTCCACCCACGAGTCTGTGGATCCCAGACTAGATGGACGGAAATGCAGGGCCAGCCCCTACTGCCCCCTGCATGCATGCCTGCCACAAACCCTTCCTACCTTTCTGCAGATGCTGGTGCACCTGTCTACTTCTATAAGTTTCAGCATCGGCCCCAGTGCTTAAAGGATAAGAAGCCACCTTTTGTCAAAGCTGATCACACTGATGAAATCCTCTTTGTCTTTGGAGGTGCCTTCCTGAAGGGCGACATTGTCATGTTTGGTAAGAAACTGGCTTCAGGGGCTCCTGCTCTTGCAGGAACACGAGCTTGGGATGAGTTGGGGAGGTGAGAATCTCCACTGTTAGCGCGAAGCCTCACCAACCGCGACACTATGCAGGGGCTGGGAGGACTGACAGGGTGGTTTACAGACACAACCTTTCCCTGGAGAATGTCTCCACTCGTAGTTTTAGAAAAAGGGGCCATGAAAAAGAGGGGCCAACATTTGCTTGATGAGTGTTTTTCTCTGGACTAAAGCCTATGGGGTGGGCACTTGGGGGCACTCATGCAATCTGATATTTTTGGGAAAAAAAAAACAACCCACTTACTTCCTTCTCTTTGACACCTGGTCTCACCCTCCCTGCCCTTCCCAGAGCTCCCGTAAGGCTACCACTCAGGGCTTTCAAAGGCAAGAACCACATTTTTCATAACTGCAGCTGAAAGTTGTCTGGATGCAGGTGATCTAATGTAAATGCTTGTGAACTGTTTCTGGTGAGGTTAGCTCATTTATTCCTGAATTTATGACCTGTTCAGTGCCTAAGATAATAAGCCAATCAGATGAGGTTATCAAAATTTAAAAATCCATAGGAACTACACACAGGAGTTATGACTAAACTATTTAGTTAAAAAAAATTGCACAGTGCAGGCTCTTAACCAGTTCATGCTAGCCTCTCCATGAAAAGGACAGAACCTCTCCTCTAGAGTGTGTCTGTGCAGTGTGGTTTGTTCATTGTTTTATTTATTCTTTCTTATCTTATAATGCCAATACTAACAGAACTACCTCCTAGGTTGTCATAAGGATTAAATGAAACAATTCTCATAAATCATATGGTGAGTGCTTAAGAAATATTACTATTATTGTTACTCAGTAACCATCACTGAACCTGTACTATGTGATGGGCACATGGACTCTCAAAAATGGAAAAAATTAACAACATATGTATGTATCAAAGGGTTAAATTCCTTGATATCTAAAAAGCTTATAAAATCAATGAGAAAAACAGAACCCAGTCAAAAACTGGGTAACAGATATAAATAGTTTATGGAAAGGGAAACATGTGGCTTTTAAACATAAAAATCCATTCAACCTCGCTCATAGCAAAGAGGATTAAAAACTAACCTTGACCAAGGACTCATTTTTCATAGATCAAGGTTGGGAAGAACATTTTACATAATGTATTTGAGCAGGTGGGGGAAAATTGACAACCTCATATGTCAATGGAAAACTCTATCAAAATTTAAAATGCGTGTAGTTTTTAGCCCAGCAATTCAACTTCTGGGATTTTTTGTGCAATTATACTTCCACATGTGCAAAAATATACACACACACTAAAACATTGCTTTTACAAGCAAAAGATTGAAAAAACTGTCAAGACCCATCAATATAGTGCTGGATACATGAATTATATATTTACAAATATATATTTATGTATTATATATTTATAGAGCAACAAAGAACAGTAAATGGAAGGTTTATAGGCAGCAATATGGAACTAACTCCTGGATACAATTTTAGTGAAAGAGAAAGATGTATAATGTGTGTCCACTGTAGCATCAAGTGTGTTAAAAGTGTCTGCTTAAACCCTCATGCACGTCTAGACTCCTTCGGAAGTACGCTCAAGAATGTGGTAACAATGGTTGCCTGTGAGGCTGGTAACTCAGTGACTAGAGGGAAGAGACGGAGAAACTTACTTTCATTAGATATACTTCCTGCATTTTGAATTTTGTGCTTTAAGCGGTGTTACATTTTCAAATAAAGAAGTACAATAATTGATTGATTGATCTAGAGAGAGAGGTGTCTCTGTCCCCAAGGAACTTGCAGTCCCTTGGAAAGGGCAGGAAGAG